CCAGGGGCGCCGGACTACTATGGCTGACCCTGTAAAACAACACATTTCACCACACCTATCTGGTGTACTTGAAAAATAAAATCATATATTGAGCTGCTTGGATGAATTTGTGGAGAAAGGCAACAATGTAGACATGGTGCACTTATGGAGTTTGATAATATGCAGCATTATTTATCTGCTTCAAACACCGAGAGAAAAGGACAGCTGTGAGGATGTATTTATTTATTTATTAGGATCTACATTAGCTGTTGCTCATGCAGCAGCGCTCTTCCTGGGGTCCACACAAAACATAAAACATGACATACAGAACATTGATAGACAAGAACAGCTCAAGGACAAAACTACATACATTTAAGAGAATTTGGGCTGTCAAACGATAAAAAACAAATATCAGTTAATCTCAGGATTTGCTGTGATTACACGATTAATCTCAAATTCAGAATTTGTTCAAATTGAGCTTTAAGATTTGTTTCATACAAAAAGCATTACAATAATTTTGACGTCTTGATTTTGTCCAAGGTAACGGTTAGCAAAATCAGGTAAATTGATAAAGCACACTTGCTTTAACCTCAATGTCAACTTGTTTTGACATGGCATTGTTGTTTTTAGCTGTATAGATTATGTATTTTTAATGTTTTCAGTGTATTTTGAACGCTTTCAGACAATGCAATTAATCACGATAAAAATAGAATGCATTAAAATTACAAAAAGTGAACTCGAATTAACTGATTAACTCTGACAGCCCTAAAGAAAATACATAATGAAAATGTAAAATGCCCAACAGGTGTCCTTGCTCCATTTCATACTAAATGGTACATTTTGACCTCCAGCATTTAAACCATCAAGGTCCTTGCGGTGATGTAAGCTGCCACACATGGTATATATATATATATATATATATAATGAAAATGAAATGACATTTTGATCTATTTTCAGATCTCGTGGAGTAGGCTATCTCGGGTAAGACTTGCATATATTAAACCAAACAAAGATCTTACGAGAAATAAATAAGCAAATCATGGAGAAGGATGCATGTATCGCATCAAAGTAAATAGTATACTAATATATAATTTAAGCAATCTATAATTGTAAAAGTTACTATACAGCCTATACAGTAGTTTCAATATTTCGTTTGTCAAATGTAGCCTAATATCAGACGAGTAGGCCTATTTAAAGACGGCTTGAGTGGCGCAGTGGTCTAAGGCACTGCATCGCAGTGCTAGCTGTGCCACTAGAGATCCTGGTTCGAATCCAGGCGGCGCACAATTGGCCCAGCGTCGTCCAGGGTAGGGGAGGGAATGGCCGGCAGGGATGTAGCTCAGTTGGTAGAGCATGGTGTTTACAACGCCAGGGTTGTGGGCTCGATTCCAGTATGAAAAAATTTAAAATGTATGCACTAACTGTAAGTCGCTCTGGATAAGAGCGTCTGCTAAATGACTAAAATGTAAATGTAAATGCTTGACTAGTGTTGAAGACCAAGCAAGCGCTTACATTCTAGTCTATTTCAATAATGGTTAAGGAACATTATACCATACCAATCGATAAAATGCTTTTTATGAGTCTTTTTCTATTGCTAATGTTAATCTGAAAAATGAAATGACAAATTCACGCACAAAACAAGCAACTAGGTTTGAGAACTTCGATAGAGCGCAGCTAAACTGCACGCTAAAGACTATCACATAACTTCTGAACTGTGATAACCTATACAATTGCCCTACATCAGCTTTAAGCTACTGATACAATGTGTCCCTTCCAGTCTTTAATGAAACGGTAGGTTGTAAACGATGACCTGAGGGGCACAACAAGGTCTGGAGAGGGTAGATTACAGAATGTCACTCATCCATAACGACTTGGGGATGTATAGAATAGAACTCGTGGACATGGCGGTGGAAAAGGATGTTGCAATATTAGTCGCAAGACAAAACTGAATCTATCCGTGGATTGGTATTGTGCATCAAACATTCTAATAATAAGTAAAAAGGTACTAAGCATAGTCTAGTCTGACTAAACTTGGTTTTTGGAATAGAACGGTCTTTGAACTGTCTATATCTTATCTATATCTTATAGCATTCGATGTCTGTCTATATATTTACAGCGATTCGATTCCGAATGGATACAAATTTAACGTTCAAGAAAGATATAATTTAAAATTTCAAAAGTTATAGCCTAGCCTATAACATTTATTTTATTATTTAGCCTACTGCATAAACAAGCTAAATATTGGCTATTTTTATTTGGCGAATACGGACGCAGCATAACGCACTTTTCTGTCATGTAATTTGGAAATGTATACTATTATATAGTACTGAGCAGGCCTATAGTCTACATAAAACAAAGGAAATATGAATGAAATAGTAGGCTATTGTAAAATAGCACATCAAATATTTTCCCGCTAACCTGACGCATGCTGCAATTCGCGACAGAGGCTATTATGCTGATTAAAAATATAGATTTAGGCTACCAAATTAATATAATTATAGGGTGTTTGACATTTTTATGTGACAAATTTATCAAAAGAAACTTTACCATCCTACCTAAACATTTACTAGTGTAGGCTGTGTAGGCTATACCACACAATGCGAAAATATATTCACACTTAAAAACAAATAATGTATTAAATAGGACTTATATAGTCTAAAGATTGATTCTCACATTTGTTTTTGCTCATACATTAAAAAAAGTAATTGCTTTGTTGATTAATATACTCACCTAAGAGAAGGAAATCCTAATCATTACATAACCCTATACATACACATGCTGTATTATGCATTATTATGTTATTAGGGATATTTAATAATGATTAAGGATGACCTCTAGTGACTAGTCCTTCCAACAAGCAGATGTAGTTATTCTATATAAACATTGATATTGTAACACATGTCATTACTATACCACATGACCATATCTATTTTCCCATGAATCTCTACTTTTCCTCTGCATTTTCCAAACAACCAACGTGAAACGGCAGAAAATGAAAACGTGTGATTGTTGTTTTTGGATTAATCTGGGCCATACCTGTTTAGTGAATCTGTGTCCTCTCTAGACTGAATCTGTGCCATTACACCACTGCCTTGGATTTGGACTGAAGATTCATCTTTAAGGCATGACCTGGTTCAGAAGACCTTTATGTTGCAAAAAAAATAGTACTTTTGGGGTAATAATAAACTGCACGCTAAAGACTATCACATAACTTCTGAACTGTGATAACCTATACAATTGCAAACGTAAATGTAATATGTATTATGAAAATTCATTTTTCATTCTTACAGATATTTATGAGTGTTCTGATGGTACCCTTAATTGAAGAACATGTGAAAGATATTGGCAAGAATATATTCTTAGATTTCATAACTGCCTGCTATCATGTAGCCCAACAATTTCCTTTGAAATCAATCAACCAATTTAGGTAGTATCTGTACTGGAGTCTATTTTGTTTCACTATACAGTAACAACAATATCAAAGTAATTTTTGCATAACACAGAATTATGTTCAATAGCCTATACAGTGCATGCTTTGTGTGTGCGTGCATGTGTGTAAATGCATGTGCCTTTTCGTGTCCAGTTTAGGTTCTTTCACACATATACCTTCACAATACTCTTATATCTATCTTGGCACCCTCACTTACCACGTTGATGGGCCAATATTGACCTGACAGTCACTGCCACCTGGCTCAAACTGCTCCAGGTGCAAATTCCTCTGGATTACCTGCTGGCCGGCCCGGTGACCACACAACATCCCCTATAACAGACAAAATTAAACTGACGCCGTCTTGAAAACGGTGAAATTTGAAATGAATAAATGTATAACTATTTTTAATTAATCATTAACCTTAATTTAACATCAATGAAAATAAACATATTACTTTGCAGATATAGGCTATCTAGGCCGAATGCAATATGATTTTACAAAGTAACAGCTTTGTGCATTTTCTCATGTTCATTCCTAAACTAAAATGAAAATGACCTCTGGCTTTTCCATGTATTTCATTTCATACTCCTCTGCAAAGGACAAGGATGAATGTGCTCCCGACTTGGAGACTGTGACAGCATGCAGCATTAATTGATTTAACATTTTCAGCAGATGCTCATCCAGAGTGATTTACAGTAGGCTAGTAAATTCATACATGTTTCTTAGTGGTCCACCGTGGGAATCGAACCCACAACCCTGGCGTTGCAAGCGCCATGGTCTACCAACTGAGCCACATGGGATAAAAAAAACTGTAATTTAAACCACTATGATTGAGCAGCAGCGATCCCATATGAAGACAATGCAGGTCTAATGAACCTAAAATGCATTAGGTCATCAGCCTTTAGTTTATTTAAAAATCCATTAGGGCCTCGGCCTACCTGGGATTAAAAAAAAATGTTTTATGGACTATCATGATGAATAGGCTAGGCTAGGCTAGGAGATGTGGAACGTTTTTGAAGGTGTATAGCTACATATTTCAGTTCATACAGTTATTTGATGCACTTTAGGCTACATCATGTGGGGGGAGAAAAGTACTATTTATGGAATGGTCAATACTTTAAAATTCTACATGTATTTATAGGGGAAGAATCTCAGCCTTTGACCTTGATTACCATAGCAACAAGGACGCGTAGTGTATGGTCACTGGTGAGTGGTGACTGTTCAGGTCCTTGGACTGGTCCATTGTAAAGCAGTTTCATTAAATGAACATTTTCACCTTCTTTATTAGCTACTCTTGGATGATCTTTTTTACATTTATTTTTATAAAAGTTGTAACGTCAAATGTGGCCTTAATGTACAAGTATTTCAGTTGGCCGATAAAGTGTTTGTAAATAAAAGTCTTACAAAACATAAATGGAACATGCCTGGCATAAGTGGCTGGTGAAACATGGCGTCTGGTTGTCTAGTGCTGGGTCTATTTTAGCTATCTGATTAGCACGCTAGCTATAGTTAAAGGCTTTGACTATATTACTGTGAATAGCAGTAGCTACATTTTCAGTACAATAATATCTTCATTGCAATATATCTCAATATGTCGGACTCAGAAGAGGACAGTCAAGATAAGCAACTTAAAATTGTAGTCATCGGAGACGGCGCATCGGGGAAGGTGAGGGATGAGTTAATAGTTAGCTAGCAAGCTAGACTTGTTATTTTGAGTAACGTTAACTGGCTAGCTAGCAACATAGCTAGGTCGCGGGGGCCAATTGGGTAAATTACTGTGCAGTGGATAACTTTAGCTCAGAAGTATCTTACAGAATTGTCATGCGTAGCTGCGTTTGCTAGACCAACGTTTGGCTATGCTTGTTAGCTGCTAAACTAGCTAACGTTAGCTCTTCAGCCAGGTAGAACAACCGTGAAACCAAACCACCGAGTTTTGTTCAAACAGGCAGTGTTTTTGTTTTAGCATAGCTAGCTATATCCAATACTGCTAATTTAGTTGGTTAGTTAACGTTACCGTCTTAATTTTGCACAACAGGGGCCAGGGGGATGTTAATAGCGTTAGTTCATGTGGAGCAAACTAACGACATGGGAACAAAGTCCAGTAATTGTCAATGATGAGAGTTAGCTACTGTCCTCTGAATTATCTTCCCAACAGTCAGTGTCAACAGAAGGGACAATTAGCCTGTGGTGCATAACATGTTGCCCGGCCACAGCCTGGTCTCATAGACCAGACGCAACATAGTAAACGTAAATCCGGGACACTTGTTACCTTTGGTAGGCTGGACAATAGAACGAGTCAAAATTCACCCAAGGCTGAAAAAACGGAAATAGAACGTTGGCTAAGCTGGAACACTAGCGCGAGCCCATAGCAAATGAATTGAATCAAACTTTTGCAGAGCCTATTTTGACTGGAATGAAGCTTAGAATTACATTTAGCCTAAATGGCACAAAACAAATGTATCCCTTTTCATATTACCACTACAATCTGTTCTTAGTACGAAACTGAAAAAAATCCAACTTGTGTAGAAAGTAAACATCTGCACCTCTGATGTCAACTTTGCTTACGTCTAGTGATCGATGACAACCGAGCTCGCTGCCCAGACTTACATAATTACAAAGAGGAGATTCTCTTGATTTAAAATGGCGTCCGACTTGAAAAAATCAAAATATACACATTGAGAGATATTTGGCGAAATAGACCGGCATGCTTCTCCATAGGAAAACAATGGGCGGAGCTCAGGGTCCTGTCAAGTTGCAAAAAGTATTTTGGGGCTAGCATTTGATGACAACCGAGCTCGCTGTCCAGACTTACATAATTACAAAGAGGAGTGTCTCATGATTAAAATGGTGCCCGACTTGAAAAAATCTAAATATACACATTGCGAGATATTTTGTGAAATAGACAGACACACCTATATTTCCCCTATAGAAAACAATGAGACGACCTCAGAGTTCCATGGGTAATTTTTTGTTGTTGTTGACTTTTTAACTACCAGCGTGGGCAGGTCTCATTGCCAACAATAGCGAAGCAGGCATTGTGACGTAGACCAATGGGCTGGGAATAGAACGTTCTGAAGGCGAGTTGGTGCCACAGTGCTCAATAGAACTAATAGGAGCTGGCAGGGTAAAAACTGCCCTAAACAAAGGCCTGTTTTTTGTTGTTGTGATTACTTCAAAACTACGACAAGCAGCTAGGACATATGGTAATATTATGAAACTGGGCTCCATGGCGGATGCAATGAACACGTTTTTATCAGAAAAAAACGTTGTTAAAAATGTAATGTGTCCAGACTACTTTTGGTATGGTTACATAAGACAGAAGGTTACTGAAGGCTGAAAGTGTTGGGTGGGCGTAGGTGTATAACGTGAACGTCTAGCAACTAGATATGGTCATTTTCACGTTTTCATAAATTCTTAGAATGTTTGGGAATTACCTTAACTAAGGCATTTGTGAAAATCCTATAGCAATGTAGAGTGGGAAAGCGGCCGTGCGTTTGGACTATTAACTGCAGTAAATAAAATCTAATAAAAACATCTGTCTCGTCCGAGACCGGAGTCTACGCAGACCGTTGTGCCATAGCCAATCAGAGCTACAGTAGGCCTTTATGCAAGCAAGCCATTTGCCACACTGGCCTGCCATCATTCACTTTGAACTGGACTGTGTGTTTACAGGCAGTTGCAACAGTGCGACTTTAGATCATTAGAAAGCATTCGCCAAAAGCCACAAAATACACCTGAATGGATTTCTGCAAATATGTAAATACCACGGGAGTCCTCTTACATATGGGAACTTTACAGACATATTGATCAAACAACCATGAAAGGTAGGCTCTCTCTCCCTCAGTTATACACATCAATAACAACAAGATCAACAACTAATGCTAGCCAGAGCAAGATTAACTAAACTCTAACAAAGGAACATTAGATAAACCCTCTCAAACTTTTTCAGCTAGTTACCCATCAAAATTGCACCGATAAATTATGGGGAATTGTAGCCTACATGTCCTTCTGCATCTCGCCTGCCAATGTATCACAACGTGTTTTTAGCTTGCTACATAAATAGATACACTAGCCTATTTGCCACGTTGTGACTGACGTGATCATTGCCCTTGCTAGTTGGATTGTATTGACATACCCAGCCGTAGTTACATTCATCAGTTTTTGTCCAAAATATTGAGTAATTGGAACTGAAACAGTGCATCCCGAATGGAGGCAGCAAACAATGTACCAGTCCAGCTGTGATTTACAACCTGATAGCAATAGTTTTTTTTACCAAGAAAATTATTCATGAATTATATTAATCATGCAGTGAACTGCATCCATCTATTCTGCCAACAATGCCTTAGTGCACGTCATGGAATGTTGAGTCAAATAGAACCTATTTATAAAACCTCTTATAAAGTTTGTTTTGTAGCATTATGATTGTCTGTTTGTTTCATATTTGCAAAGTAGTTAAAACGCTGTCAGTTCCACTTTAAGATTGACTCTCTCAGACAGGATGAAAACTACTACATCGACCATGATCCATTGCTAGTTACGGCCACTTTCACCATGATCCATTTAGCCCCATTCAGCAATATGGCTCGCCTCAAATTCGAATACTTCCGGCTTCATGCACTATCGGGAGGTTTCCATAGGAATACGTGGATGACGTCAGCACAATCATTATCTACTGGTTTTAATGTCATGGTCTTATTCTGGTGACATGATGATCGATGCTTTGCTGCCATTTGACAAATAAAAATAATCTTGCTCTTACCTATAATAATCTCACCATGTACGGTGAATTCGGAATAAGTGGGACACTTTTTGCATTTATGTCCTCTAACCTTTCTGACATCTATCCAACATATTAGCACAACACATGATACTTTTTCCAAATTTTGTTACGTTACAGCCTTATTCTAAGATTGATTAAATTGGAACTCCGGAGCTCTGTTAGAGTGACCATTGGGTTCTTGGTCACCTCCCTGACCAAGGCCCTTCTCTTCCGATTGCTCAGTTTGGCCGGGCGGCAAGCTCTAGGAAGAGTCTAGGTGGTTCCAAACTTCTTCCATTGAAGAATGATGGAGGCCACTGTGTTCTTGGGGACCTTCAATGCTGCAGACATTTTTTGGTACATTTCCCCAGATCTGTGCCTCGACACAATCCTGTCTCGGAGCTCTACGGACAATTCCTTCGACCTCATAACTTGGTTTTTACTCTGACATGCACTGTCAACTGTGGGACCTTATATAGACAGGTGTGTGCCTTTCCAAATCATGTCCAATCAATTGAATTTACCACAGGTGGACTCCAATTAAGTTGTAGAAACATCTAAAGGATGATCAATGGAAACAGGATGCACCTGAGCTCAATTTCAAGTCTCATAGCAAAGGGTCTGAATACTTATGTAAATAAGGTATTTCTGTTTATTTTGCTTTGTCATTGTGGGGTATTGGGTGTAAATTGTTGAGGATTTGTTTTCATTTAATCAATTTTAGAATAAGGCTGTAATGTAACAGTGTGTAAAAAGGGAAGGGGTCTGAATACATTCCGAATGCACTGTATGCCTCTCTATTTAAGCGTGGGAATACTTGGGAACAGATTTCCAAAATGTATAATCACTGAGCTGATTTCCTGGTCAATTTACAGTATTTTTTTTTCCAACAACGAAAAAAACTATGAAAAACACTCAATGGTGTTCCTAATGATTTGTTCACTATATGCTCCAGTCTTCAATTGTTCAGAGGGAGATTGCTAAAGTAAGCACTGTTACTGTGTAACAGATCTATAAACTGTTTCAAAGATAGCATAGTGGATTTAAATCTGTCATGAATCCAGTCTTGTAAACCTATTAATCGTACCTGACCCTTAATCCAGGTTGCATGTGCTGTTGGAGGGATTTTCTGTCAAACTTTGGACCATGGTACTCTGGTTGTCTAATTTTACTATTGTAGCCAGTGATTACAGGTAGGCCACACAGGTGTGTGTGTGTGTGTGTGTGTGTGTGTGGACCACACAATAAATGAAGTTTCTGTATTGCCTAGTACAAGGTAGACTCGCAGCCTATCCTAGGTACAGAGCATTCGGAAAGTATTCAGACCCCTTCCCCTTTTCCACATTTTGTTACGTTACAGCCTTATTCTAAAATGGATTAAATACATATTTTTCCTCATCAATCTACACACAATACCCCATAATGACAAAGGGAGAACCGTTTTTTTTTAAAGAACATTTTGCATATACATATATATATATATATATATATATATATATATATATATATATAACAGATACCTTATTTACATAAGTATTCAGACCCTTTGCTATCAGACTCAAAATTGAGCTGATAGCAAAGGTGCATCCTGTTTCCATTGATCATCCTTGAGATGTTTCTACAACTTGATTGGAGTTCACCTGTGGTAAATTCAATTGATTGGACATGATTTGGAAAGGCAGACACCTGTCTACAATTTAAAACCTGTTCTCACATAATTAATATTGTAGGTCTAGGTTACAGGGGAATAATATAGTCCTAGGTCTATTTGCTCACTCAGGTATACTATTCAATGTAGATAAAATAGTGTCTAGAATCTCAAAATCAGCTTGATCGTTGAGTAGGGGAAAAAGTTTATCCTACATTTTTTAAGTGAACTGTCTCCTTGCCGTAATCTATATTCAGGACTTAGGGTTGTTTTCTCATTTGACTCCCTGCTGCAGAAGCAGCGCTTTAACATGACCGTTGTGGCTTTGCAGTCATGACCGATTCATTCATATGAACCAGCAGGGGGCAAGTCTCAGTCTGCAGAAATGGTATTGACCTCGCTCCAGATTGCACACATCTTTAAGACTCATATGCTGTTATTCTTGTTAAAAACCGTCCACAGGCATTTATTGTTTTCTTAATGAGAAACGTTCAGTTCATGCCTATGCTCTTCTATTACGTTTAGAGTAGAACCAACTGTGGTAGAAGTTTAGTGGGAAGAGGCTGGAGAGTTCTGCAGTGATTAAATGTTCAGGCGGTGTCTGAATCATTGTTAGGCTACTTGCTTGCTGTCAAAACTGAGGACAGTAATAAAACCAGTCACCATTCTGGACACACATAAAAAAATTAATCGAAACTTGTATTCACCTCACCTACATTTTTTTTACATTTTATGCATATGCTTTAGACCCAGGCTAGGCTGTTTATTACCACAAATATTTAATGAGTCTTTCATTCATTCTGTTCTTGGTAGAAATAGGCTTATATTTTCCAGACCCAGGCTCTATAGCCAACTTTGCAGAATAGCCTACATGCATGTGTTAAGTTCAGATTTATTAAAATGTTAATTTATGGACAAATGTTTTGTATGAGACTGCTTGGTCTACGTGCTCATAATGCAGGTAAATGTACCAACATTTTTCTCTGCCACAGCACAGACAGGAGGCGGCAAGGCAAAGAGGTTGTCATGACAACGCTGCAATGTTTCTTCTTCAGCGCATCTCTGAATCCTCAAATGATTGTGCGAATGCGCTGCAGTGATTTTTAAGGGTTTTTCGGCTTCACTAGCCTCTCTTGAAAGTAATGTCCCCCCCTCTGAGAGAAATAACACAAATGGAGCAGTTAGCCTATGTAGGCTCAACAAGAAAAATGAATGTTCCCAGTCTGAGAAGTCCTTCAGGCGGACAGAGAACACACACAGCTTAGTTTTCAGTAGAAATGCTACATTAATAACCCCCCTCACACTGCTGCCAGGTGTCAGTTCATCACTGTCTCCATGACTTACCTGCTTGTCTGTTTTGGGCAGAAAACATGACCCCTACCCCTATTTTGAATGGGCACCAGTGACTGACATCTTGAATGCTGTTTCCCCCCTTATTAATGTCAATTTGCTCAGCAAATTGCAATCGGATCAGTTTTTCTTGGACGGCATCTTGCGGGGTATTTTCACATACGGTTGTCCATTCAGAAATATGGGGGGGAGATGTGTGAAGGCTTGTCCACCACCTGAGGTAGGAGCTGTCAAAAATATGGATGCTCACAGTTTCATCAGGCCTCACATGGCATTACAGAAGCTAAAGGACTTTTAACTCGACATATTTGTGTTGTTTGAAATGTGATGAAATAGCATAGCCTACATGCAGAGTAGGAATTGATCAACTATCCTAAATCTAAGATATGTAGGCATACTTGTCAGCATATGGTCCCCTTTGATATTTTTTGTATTTAATTTTTGTAAAAGAAATTTGGGGGGGTAGATCAGCTTTAATATTGAAGATAGATTGTAACTTCCATCAATGTAATTGTCTGCATCACTTCTAATCCCCCATATGTTTTTTTTTCTTTTTCTCGCAAATATAAATCCTTTTGAAAAATATATTTCCCTTTATTGGTCCCCTTTGTTGGCTAGAAAGCAGCCTAACTAAGCTAACTATGCTCATATTAAATATTAGTGACGTCGCATCATGGACATACTGTGGCTTGCTATCTCTCTCTCTCTCTCCCCTCCCTTTCTCTCTCTCTCTCTCTTCTCTTCTCTCCCCTCCCCTTCTCTCTCTCCCCCCTCTCTCTCTCTCTCTCTCTCTCCACCTCTCTCTCTCTCCTCCACCTCTCTCTCCTCTCTCTCTCTCCTCCACCTCTCTCTCTCTCCTCCACCTCTCTCTCTCTCCTCCACCTCTCTCTCTCTCCTCCACCTCTCTCTCTCGCTCTCTCTCTCTCTCTCTATTTTCTCTCAATGGAACTTCCCTCATTTCCCGGCAGTGGTATCATTGGTGACCTTGTGCCATCTCCTTATTGAAGAGAAGTTTGGATTACGCCAGCTTTTACATGCCCTGGTTAGTATGGTGGAAAAAAAGGGTCCTATGAAGAGGGAGTAGAGCCAAGCTACTGGAATGCCAAGACCAATGGCTCCCTAAGCCAACGCCAGCATGTGGAATAGATTGTTGTTATCCGGGATAGTTATTCCTGTGTTGTCAGTGATTGTGTGGGCTACTTAAATGGTCAATTTTCTCCTTGTTGCGTCAGTCACCTCCAGTAAGTTGTCACTCACCATAGAGCTTGTGAAATGCTCAACAAGACAACTTTTCAGACCTTTTGGTCAACGCACGATTTCAGAGTCACAGGCTTAAGTTTAACGAAAATATAAGGACACTGCAACCTATGTAGAAAGCGTTGGCCTCAAATGTATTTGGGGTATTTCAGTCTAATGAAGATCTGTCCTATTCAGCCACTTGAGAAACAGCTGCCAAGATGACTCCTCTTCAGCGATTCTAGTTGGGATAGACCTTACAATACTGTACAGCGGAGTTGCAACCTAATGACTGACTGAAATTGGGCATGTTTTGATGGCGTAAAGAGTTGAAATAGCCTATGCTTGACTGTTTTGACTAATGTAGATAGCAGGTTTAATTGTAGTCCCCTGTGCCTTCCCTGTCGTTGTCTGTTCCATATGACTTTTCTGTCCTTTATTTTTGACTTATTGCTGGCATAACTTGAAATGTCAGAAAATAAATGGCAGTAGATTAAGTGAATAAGTGAATGCTCTGTGGACATAAAGAAACCATTTATTTCAAATTCTATAACCTTCAGTGATAGTAGTCAAGTAGTACATAAAATGAATTCACCGCAGGAATACTTAGGAAGCCCCACTGTTCCATTATTCCTCCATGCTTATGTAAGCACACTGCTCTAAAGATAGCTAATAGACATCCAGTGCTTTTTTTTTCTTGTACTCATCCATCAAAATGAATTAAACTTGGCATGTCAAGTCTGTGCTGTGAATTCCCATGCTTTTCAGACTAGCCTAGTGACATTGAGAGATGGAGTTTTGTAATTTCGTGCAGGTGGCAATTAGAAGCTGTAGTTAGGATGCATGACTCGTCTACTCAGACACCTGTTTTCTTAATTCACTTGGATTTTTACAGTCAGACAGGCCTTGATAGCTTTGCGAGACAGCAGAGGTAATTACTTTAGCTTACCTCACTTTAATTACAATGGCTAGGGTAAATCTCTTCCCAAGCATTTTTTTTTTTTTTAAACAGAGAAAAATCATGGGCCCAGTTCATTTGGAGTTATGAATAGGCCTAGTTGTCATACAGAACTGAACACCACTCCAACTCCAACACTCAGGCTTGTTCATAAGGCTTGAATTCAACTTCTTTAGTCGTTTTATTGGCAGGACAAGGGTCTTAGCATGATCTCTCTCTCTGTTTCAGACGTCACTCGCCACCAGGTTTGCGCAGGAGGCCTTTGGGAAACAGTACAAACAGACCATTGGCCTGGATTTCTTTCTGAAGAGAATAACTCTGCCAGGTAAGACACCTTCATCCTTTGGTTCTTTCTGAAGAGAATAACTCTGCCAGGTAAGACACCTTCATACTTTGGTTCTTTCTGAAGAGAATAACTTTTCCAGGTAAGACACCTTCATCCTTTGGTTCTTTCTGAAGAGAATAACTCTGCCAGGTAAGACACCTTCATACTTTGGTTCTTTCTGAAGAGAATAACTTTTCCAGGTAAGATGCCTTCATCCTTTGGTTCTTTCTGAAGAGAATAACTCTGCCAGGTAAGACGCCTTCATCCTTTGGGATTGCCGGCCTGCTCTGTACCACACCACAGATACAGGCACACACACACACAAACGCAGGCACACATGCACACACACACGTGCATACTGTAGTCTACCTGTTGGAGCAGTGTTTCCCAAATTCGGTCCTGGAGATCCCAAGGGATGCACGTTTTGGTTTTTACCCTAGCACTACACAGCTGATTAAAATGATCAGAGCTTGATGATTAGTTGATTATTTGTATCAGCTGTGTAGTGCTAGGACAAAAACCAAAACGTGCACCCCTTGGGGTCCTGAAGACCGAGTTTGGGAAACCCTGCGTTAAAGGCACGTTGATGTAAGATGCTGCAGTGTCTGACTTTAAATCTATTCAATACTGCTTATGAAACATGCATATCTAAAAGTATTTAGACGTTATTAAAGTAGCCTACTTGGAATTTATTACATTTCTTTTTACACAAGCTGTATGTGAATTTCTTGATTAGTTTGCCAATTTTAGTTTGTGCACAATTTCTCTTTTCATTTTTTTACACAAAGCATTAGAATGAAAATGTCTAAATTTATTTTCAAATTGTTTAAAAATGTGTTGCATTTTGTATTTCCTTCCCCAGCGTTTTATGGTAGAACCGAACTATTTTGTTCCTCAGGTTATCTCAGGACTTTCAATGTGTCTTTCTTGGTAGCACCACATTGTGGAGAGTCTGCCACTTCTCAGCCTTATTCATTCTGAAAGCTGTTCTCTCTAGGGCAAACACCAGGCTTTTTTCCCTCCATGAAGCCAATGGACAGCTTATGTCCAGAGAGGCGAGCCTTACACATAATTCTGTGGGCACAGTACAGAGTAAATACATTTAGCATTTTATATTCATATCCCGGGGTTCAACTGATCTTTGTTCTGAACCACATAAAACATTCATGTTCTTATTTGTTTATTTTCAAACCCACGGAAATAAAGCCTCGCTCTGTATCCTCTTAGATGTGTAAAATAAATGTTTATTGACTAATGTTATATTTAGACTAAAGCCCTCCGTTTTCACTTCCTACCATATGGCATGAGGATTTTCAGCATTTTAAATTGCATATTTAAAACAGTGCCAAGATATAAAGCTGCAAAACTCTGCAAAGTAGCTCCATTCTTTTATGACTAATAAAATAAAATGTAAGCAAGGGTGGATTAAGTACTAAAATAAATATATGACAACTTGAAGCTATTACATTTAGTCCTATATTCAGTTTCAGTTGGTAATAGTAGGAGAAAGCAAACCATTAACGTTTTAGTAGAGATAATTAGGCAGACCTTGGTGAAAATTGGGAAAGGATTCAATGAGAAAATCACACAAATAATGCCAATCTTAGTTCTTCTGATTCTGGTAAAACTAGTTGAGAACCATTACTGCAGCACAGCAAGACACGTAGATATAATAATAGTAGACGTTGGTTCAACACTAGAGTTGTTAAATGGCACATTTTCTGGGGGATTGGGTTCTGTTGACCTGATGAAGAGGATGGCTGTGTCTGCCGTTTGGGTGGTCCTGAGCTTCGTTAGGACCCACGTCCGCCTTCGACTGGATGTGTTGTGTGGCTCTCTGGGGTTGTATGGGGCTCTATGGGGCTCTCCAAGATGGGGGGGAGAGTATAGCCGGCGCTGGCCCCTCTCACCGTGAAGGCCCAGCTTGTCAAACTTAATGTACATTTTCCAACGCGTGGAGAGGTGAGGTGAGGCGAGGCCGATTGGCACACAAACTCTTCTTTGTGTGCTTTTAACAATACCTCTTCCAGATGTTTCATGTTTGGTCTGTGAATTAATACTTATCAAAATGGTAATGTTTTGATAGTGTATTTATTGGGTTCCACTGAACATTGCTAATAGCTAATGAAGACTACTAAAAACACAAAAACAGCCACAAACTCACCACGTAAGCAGGGAAACTTTGGGTCTGTTGAGTATTTTAAACATAAATAAAGTATGTGTCCGAGTGCAGGGGATGGGTGGGGATAGCTCACATACTGTAACACCAAGGGCAGTTATTCATTGCACTCTTCAATGTAGCTTTACATTGACACTGTATAGTCTAGATGTAGTCACTGTGAACACTCGTGCTTCCTTCCTCTGAGAAACAGGGACTTGTGTGGTGGGGGTCGGCTCGTCCAGCCGTGTCCACACTGTACGCTCGGCTCGGCTCGCCATAAGCGCTCTAGGCCAATGAAGGGCCCTCATCACACCGACAAACTCCTCACTGTCTGGTCCTCCCTTCTCTTCTTTTCTCAACCACCCCTTTCATTTTCCAGAGGAAGAAAATATTTATTTGGATTTGGTTTTGTACCCCGTCCCTCTCTCTCCCTCTCCCCACCTCCCTCCTATATAAATTGGGACAGTAGTCTTCTTTTGCTTCTTATTTTGTGTTTAATTATCTGTATTTTTCTTAACACCACATATATTTCTCCTCGACTTGGCAGAGTACGACACAATGCAAACAGCTATTCCCAGGCTAATAAGTGCTCTTTTTTTTTTTTCTTCGTCCGGGGTATTGAGAATGTTTAAATTACAGGGTAAGCATACCTATTCATCCCCCTGAATCTCTCCTCTGGATATTCTTGGATGTGGAGTGTGTGTGACCTGCCAGAGGCGAGTGGTTAAAAATGAAAGATTAATCTCTGATTTATTGTTTCCAATATGTACATGAACAACGTCAACGTTTTATTATAGAAATCCCTCTCCAGAAATATAGGCTCCGGTTACGGCTGACTCGTGATTTCCCCAAGATTATGAGCTTTGTTAAAACAAACGCTTATAAAGGGGACCAAAACAACCCAGACGGAATGCTCACAAATTACAGTACAATTGAATTTTGGCTTCTCTTGTCACATTATTTTCCAGTTGATCGACTTACTTTCACTTTTTAGTCAGAAGTTGATCATGTCAAAAATAAGCTAACAAGTCAAGCCAAATGTTGATAGTTTTGTAATATGTGTGCTTTCATTGCAGCAGCGTTTGTTTGAAACATTGAAGTCAGTGAATAATTTCTAATGATTTAAGTTTCTCCATTTCTTCTTCCCTTAGGCAACTTGAATGTTACCCTGCAAGTGTGGGATATTGGAGGTCAAACGATTGGAGGGAAAATGCTGGATAAATATGTCTATGGTGCTCAGGTACTGTAACAACCACACACACACACACACTCAATAAACGCTGAGGTGGTCCGTCGTTCTTCACGATAGAGCTCTGAACCTTTTAACTGTATTTAACTCATTTACAATGTAGTAGTGTTTCCCTATTAGGCTTGGGTAATTAATAAGCCTTTATGATAATATTAGTGCAACAGGACCCTGCACAGATTGCAGCCAAGTTTTACTACTTAGCTGGTCATATGGACTACACAGTGTACAGCATGAGGGGGAGTAAGAAATACCTTTCTCCCTTTCCCCGCTCTAACTTCATTATTTATTAACAAAATAAGCATATTTACTAATTAATGTGAATAGAGTGAGGTTTGTGTTGACACTGCAATAACACGTGGGCGGGAGTGTTATGTTTGTGCGTTTGCTTCACTCCGCTAAGCAACATCCATAAGTGGTTGTTGCTATATAGGCTACCATTATCTGTCACCCAAAGCCACTGTCTACGCTCTCAAAGCTGCACTTGTTTGAAGAGGTATAGATATAGCTATAGATCCGGTCTAGCTGAAGAGCATGGGGCCTGTATGGGATGTAGAGACTGAGACAACACTTGATGCTGTTCTTGTGTGTACACTACCGTTCAAAAGTTTGGGGTCACTTAGAAATGTCCTTGTTTTCCATGAAAACATAAATTAAATGAGTTTGAATAGGAAATATAGAAAAATGCATAGGAAATGTAGTCATTGACAAGGTTAGAAATAATGATTTTTAAAAGGAATAGTAATTGTGTCCTTCAAACTTTGCTTTTGTCAAATAATCCTCAATTTGCAGCAATTACAGCCTTGCAGACCTTTTGGCAGTCTAGTTGTCAATTTGTTGAGGTAATCTGAAGAGATTTCACCCCATGCTTCCTGAAGCACCTCCCACAGGTTGGATTGGTTTGATGGGCACTTCTTACGTACCATACGGTCAAGCTGCTCCCACAACAGCTCAATAGGGTTGAGATCCGGTGACTGTGCTGGCCACTCCATTATAGACAGAATACCAGTTGAATGCTTCTTCCCTAAATAGTTCTTGCATAGTTTGGAGCTGTGCTTTGGGTCATTGTCCTGTTGTAGGAGGAAATTGACTCCAATCAAGCGCCTTCCTTCTTCAAGATCCCTTTTACCCTGTACAAATCTCCCACTTTACCACCACCAAAGCAACCCCAGACCATCCCATTGCCTCCACCATGCTTGACAGATGGCATCAAGCACTCCTCCAGCATCTTTTCATTTGGTCTGCATCTCACAAATGTTCTTCTTTGTGATCCGAACACCTCAAACTTCGATTGTTATGTTCATAACACTTTTTTCCAATCTTCCTCTGTCCAGTGTCTGTGTTCTTTTGCTCATCTTAATATTTTCTTTTTATTGGCCAGTCTGAGATATGGCTTTTTCTTTGCAACTCTGCCTAGAAGGTCAGCATCCCGGAGTCGCCTCTTCACTGTTGACGTTTAGACTGGTGTTTTGCGGGTACTATTTAATGAAGCTGCCAGTTGAGGACCTGTGAGGCATCTGTTTCTCAAACTAGACACTAATGTATTTGTCCTCTTGCTCAGTTGTGCACCGGGGCCTCCCACTCCTCTTTCTATTCTGGTTAGAGCCAGTTTGCGCTGTTATGTGAAGGGAGTAGTACACAGTGTTGTACGAGATCTTCAGTTTCTTGGCAATTTCTCGCATGGAATAGCCTTTATTTCTCAGAACAAGAATAGACTGACAAGTTTCAGAAGAAAGTTATTTGTTTCTGGCCATTTTGAGCCTGTAATCGAAGCCACAATTGCTGATGCTCCAGATACTAAACTAGTCTCAAGAAGGCCAGTTATTGCTTCTTTAATCAGCACAACAGTTTTCAGCTGTGCTAACATAATTGCAAATGGGTTTTCTAATGATCAATTAGCCTTTTAAAATGATAAACTTGGATTAGCAAACACAATGTGCCATTGGAACACAGGACTGATGGTTGCTGATAATGGGCCTCTGTACGCGTATGTACAGTGGGGAGAACAAGTATTTGATACACTGCCGATTTTGCAGGTTTTCCTACTTACAAAGCATGTAGAGGTCTGTAATTTTTATCATAGGTACACTTCAACTGTGAGAGACGGAATCTAAAACAAAAATCCAGAAAATCACATTGTATGATTTTTAAGTAATTAATTTGCATTTTATTGCATGACATAAGTATTTGATCACCTACCAACCAGTAAGAATTCCGGCTCTCACAGACCTGTTAGTTTTTCTTTAAGAAGCCCTCCTGTTCTCCACTCATTACCTGTATTAACTGCACCTGTTTGAACTCGTTACCTGTATAAAAGACACCTGTCCACACACTCAATCAAACAGACTCCAACCTCTCCACAATGGCCAAGACCAGAGAGCTGTGTAAGGACATCAGGGAAAAAATTGTAGACCTGCACAAGGCTGGGATGGGCTACAGAACAATAGGCAAGCAGCTTGGTGAGAAGGCAACAACTGTTGGCGCAATTATTAGAAAATGGAAGAAGTTCAAGATGACGGTCAATCACCCTCGGTCTGGGGCTCCATGCAAGATCTCACTTCGTGGGGCATCAATGATCATGAGGAAGGTGAGGGATCAGCCCAGAACTACATGGCAGGACCTGGTCAATGACCTGAAGAGAGCTGGGACCACAGTCTCAAAGAAAACCATTAGTAACACACTACGCCGTCATGGATTAAAATCCTGCAGCGCACGCAAGGTCCTCCTGCTCAAGCCAGCGCATGTCCAGGCCCGCCTGAAGTTTGCCAATGACCATCTGGATGATCCAGAGGAGGAATGGGAGAAGGTCATGTGGTCTGATGAGACACAAATATAGTTTTTTGGTCTAAACTCCACTCGCCGTGTTTGGAGGAAGAAGAAGGATGAGTACAACCCCAAGAACACCATCCCAACCGTGAAGCATGGAGGTGGAAACATCATTCTTTGGGGATGCTTTTCTGCAAAGGGGACAGGACGACTGCACCGTATTGAGGGGAGGATGGATGGGGCCATGTATCGCGAGATCTTGGCCAACAACCTCCTTCCCTCAGTAAGAGCATTGAAGATGGGTCGTGGCTGGGTCTTCCAGCATGACAACGACCCGAAACACACAGCCAGGGCAACTAAGGAGTGGCTCCGTAAGAAGCATCTCAAGGTCCTGGAGTGGCCTAGCCAGTCTCCAGACCTGAACCCAATAGAAAATCTTTGGAGGGAGCTGAAAGTTCGTATTGCCCAGCGACAGCCCCGAAACCTGAAGGATCTGGAGAAGGTCTGTATGGAGGAGTGGGCCAAAATCCCTGCTGCAGTGTGTGCAAACCTGGTCAAGACTTACAGGAAACGTATGATCTCTGTAATTGCAAACAAAGGTTTCTGTACCAAATATTAAGTTCTGCTTTTCTGATGTATCAAATACTTATGTCATGCAATAAAATGCAAATTAATTACTTAAAAATCATACAATGTGATTTTCTGTTTTAGATTCCGTCTCTCACAGTTGAAGTGTACCTATGATAAAAATTACAGACCTCTACATGCTTTGTAAGTAGGAAAACTTGCATAATCGGCAGTGTATCAAATACTTGTTCTCCCCACTATAGATATTCCATTAACAATCAGCCGTTTCCAGATACAATAGCCATTTACAACCACAATGTCTACACTGTATTTCTGATCAATTTGATGTTATTTTAATGGACAAAAAATTGCTTTTATTTTGAAAACAAGGACATTTCTAAGTGACCCCAAACCTTTGAACGGTAGTGTAGGTCGGTTCTGTCGGTCTCTGTACTGTAATACCACCTCAGCCGCCCTGCCCCGCACACTCACACCCAACAACAACGTGTCGTCCATCAATGCCACATTGGAATACTTTGCTCTGCGGGTTTCTCACCAGCGCTTTATGGGGCTTTCACAACCATTGTTCGACGAGCCACGGGCGACAATCAATCATAGTCATTGGTAGCGACGTGCTGCAATTGTAACTGACACAAACTGTCGTCACCGGCCTTGTGTTGTGACATTGCTGCAGTTCTGTTTCATGATGATGCAATCAAAGGCGAGACATTATTTATTTTGGTCCCTTTTCATATTCTATAGTCTTTTGGAATGGTGAAGAGCTAACTGACACAGTTTTGGCACTTGAGGCTTTTGTTTTTAACATGGAAGTGTTTCATCTTTGTTTACATATAAGCTAGTACAGACGCCAGCTTTAACGGTCTGGTTACTCGGACGGACACCTTTTGTGCTTTGCTATAGGACTGCTTCCGTTCTTGTACTTACGCTGACAATACTTCCACAAAGTATTTCGACGAAGGGAGGAGGATGAGACCTCATTCATAAACACCCGTATACTACCCTCTTTTATTTGTAAGCACAGACAACAGAGCCAATTTTGTTGCCAGAGAACCTAACCTAACCCCTATCCTACCTTCCTATGCTTGTTTGACTGGGTGGACAAAACTCTGCGGTCCCCCTCGCCTCGATGTCCACAGACAGACAGATTAGAGTGTAGGCGTAGTGGTGGGCTGTATGTTCTTAGCATGTCTCTCTGCATCTGTAACAGCGATATAGATCTTTTAATGCCATGACTGGCTTAGAGAGAGCCGAGGAGGTGCTAACTCCGTGTGTGTGTGTGTGTGTGTTTTGAGACGGAGGGGGGGTAAGAAGAAGGGTAACTGTCTTTTCTCAGACACTAGTGCCACCTGCTGTTCACACTCAAACCTCTCTGGCATGTTTGTTCTCATCTTATGTCAAATTTAATTCGTTTTGGAATGTTGTGATTACATCATTTTAGATTTTCCATGGTATTGTTTTTCAGGGTGTTCTTCTAGTGTACGACATTACAAACTACCAGAGCTTTAAGAATCTGGAGGACTGGTACGGCATGGTCAAGAAGGCCAACGAAGAGTCTGACGTCCAGCCTGTGGTCTCCCTGGTGGGAAACAAAAGTGAGTATCTAAAACAAAGCTCTCTGACACACACGCAGGTAGCCTAGCGGTTAAGAGCGTTGGGCCAGTAACTGAAAGGTCGCTGGTTCGAATCCTCGAGCCGGCAAGGTAGAAAAATCTGCCCTTGAGCAAGGCAGTTAACTCCGAACAACAACTGCTCCCCAGGTGATGACGTGGACGTCGATTTAAGGCAGCCCCCGCACCTCTCTGATTCAGAGGGGTTGGGTTAAATGCAGAGGACACATTTCAGTTGAATGCATTCAGTTGTGCAACTGACCAGGTATCTCCTTTACCTTTCCTTTCTTCTGATCATAGGCCACACTCTTACACATCATAAAAGAGACTGAAGACTAAAGCAGACGACTCAACTATAATGTATAAACACTGAGAGCTGTGAAGAGAATGTCATTTTCAGTGCAGAAAGATCAATCACAATTTTCTCTGCCGGTGAAATGTTTTATTCACTCTTTTATACACTGCATGCTTTAGCAGTACAGCAGTGACCATATTACTGTATCCAGCTCTATTTTGCAGTATGGCAGCGACCATATTACTGTATCCAGCTCTATTTTGCAGTATGGCAGCGACCATATTACTGTACCGAGCTCTATTTTGCGGTACACAGAGACCATATTACTGTATCCAGCTCTCTTTTACGGTACGGCCGCAACATTATTACTGTATCCAGCTCTATTTAGCAGTACAGCAGCGACCGCATTACTGTATCAGGCTGTATATTGTGGTACGGCAGCGACCATATTACTCTGTGTGTGTCTGTGTGTGTCTCTGTGTGTCTGTGTGTATCTGTGTGTGTGTGTCTCTGTCTTTCTGTGTGTGTGTCTCTGTGTGTCTCTGTGTGTCTCTGTGTGTGTCTCTGTCTTTCTGTGTGTGTGTGTGTGTCTCTGTGTGTCTCTGTGTGTCTGTGTGTGTCTGTGTGTGTCTCTGTGTGTCTCTGTCTTTCTGTGTGTGTGTCTCCTGTGTGTGTGTCTCTGTGTCTGTGTATGTCTCTGTGTGTGTCTCTGTGTGTCTCTGTGTCTCTGTGTCTGTGTGTGTCTGTGTGTGTCTATGTGTCTCTCTGTGTGTGTCTCTGTGTGTCTCTGTGTGTCTATGTGTGTCTCTGTGTGTCTCTGGGTGTGTGTCTCTGTGTCTGTGTGTCTCTGTGTGTGTCCATGTGTGTCTCTGTGTGTGTGTCTCTCTGTGTCTCTGTCTTTCTGTGTGTGTGTCTCTGTCTTTCTGTGTGTCTCTGTGTGTGTGTCTGTGTGTCTCTGTCTTTCTGTGTGTCTCTGTGTGTCTCTGTGTGTGTCTGTGTGTCTCTGTGTGTGTCTCTGTGTGTGTCTCTGTGTGTGTCTGTGTGTGTGTCTCTGTCTTTCTGTGTGTGTCTGTGTGTCTCTGTGTGTGTCTCTGTGTGTCTGTGTGTCTCTGTCTGTGTCTGTGTGTGTGTCTGTGTCTCTGTGTGTGTCTCTGTGTCTGTGTATGTCTCTGTGTGTCTCTGTGTGTCTCTGTTTTTCTGTGTGTGTGTCTCTGTGTGTGTGTCTCTGTGTGTGTGTCTCTGTGTGTGTCTCTGTGTCTCTCTGTGTGTCTCTGTGTGTCTCTGTGTGTCTGTGTGTGTCTCTGTGTGTCTGTGTGTGTCTGTGTCTCTGTGTCTGTGTGTGTCTCTCTGTGTCTGTGTGTGTCTCTCTGTGTGTCTCTGTGTGTCTCTGGGTGTCTCTCTGTGTCTCTGGGTGTCTCTGTGTGTGTCTGTGTGTGTAGGAGTGTGTTGCAGCCGATAATACCAGATAGGCCTTTGTGTGTTAGGGCTCAAGCTAATTGATGTGTTTCGATTAGCTAATTGATATTGAGGAGCAGGGTCTCCTGGGGCGATGGGAACGGTGATGTTTGCGTGCTCTTGGGAGTGACCCTCCGTGATTTAAGACCCTGGTGTGGTGGCTACGGGGCACCCTCCCTCTACTCTAACTCCAGCCTGGACACCACTTTGGATGAGGAGAGGATATTAGATGATAACCAGACAACCTTTTCCAACCCCCCCCCCCCCCCCGCCCATCCGCCCCTCTCCAAAATAAAGACTAATAATGATGACTGTGTTTTTTTAAACATCCCCTCTGACAGATGGGGAGACATTGCTGCCGCCGTGTTATTGTAAAGCACCCAGTCACAGACCCGTGTGTAATGATGGCTGTCGACTGTCCAGCCTCGAACCCCTCCGCCCCACTCCTCCTCCGCCCCAGTGATGAATGGCCCACAGAGTGGTATCTACACAGGAAGCCTCTCTAATGTTACTCAACGGGGGCGTTTAGGTCAGGGCTTAATATGCCTGTCTAGCGCAGGGATTCTCTTGTCTTCGCATTAGGGCGCATCTCTTAATGCCCGGCCTAACGGCAGGCGCCTCTGTATTTAGGCTACATTTTGTATACTGTCGGTGAGTGTGTCTGTGTAAACGTGTGTGTAAGTGCGTTTGTATAGTGTGTGTCAGTGCGTATACTGTAATATGTATTTAAGAAGTGTATAGCCCTCTGTCAGGGTCCCCCTTCGCCCGCTCAGTCAGTCTGCTCTTAATGGCCGTATTGCTAAGAATCGCCCATGTGTGTTTTTTCGGCTCCTACAGTCCGCAAAGAAGAAAAACAAAATCCCACACAGATTGCCCTACCAGGAGCAATCAATTACCTAGCGAGACTTTATGAATCCCTGAACCCTCTCACGGACTCCGTTTCTTCAGAGGGCATGAAGAGAGAGTTAGTCTAGCTATCTTGTGGGAATTGCCCACACAGACATTTCTGTTTTGCTTTCTTTTTTCCCCCTCCCCTGCTCCGTCATCTTTCGCTCTTTTGCCGAGGAGCCCCTCTAACACTTTTATGTATCATAGCTCTCTTTTTATTTTATTTTATTTTTTTACCAAGTGCCCGGCTGTCACCCAGTTATAATGAATAGAACAAAAAATATACAGCATTCTTAGGGGGAATGTTGAGATGTTGTTTTGTAGGTTCCCATGAAATCCAAAAGAGTGAAATAGCCACCAGCCCTCAGACCATGTCAATTGAAATAGAAGGACCTAACCAGGAGCTTATAAGAGTATGATTTGCACTATACAGATTTATGAGAGGGCAAGTCCTCTGGGAGATCCCTTCTCTCTCTTAACCACTGACATGTTTTACTGTTGTTTCCCTTCATCATTCACTCTCACTTATCATATATGCAGTACTAGTGCGTTATCTACAGTGGGGAAAAAAAGTATTTAGTCAGCAACCAATTGTGCAAGTTCTCCCACTTAAAAAGATGAGAGAGGCCTGTAATTTTCATCATAGGTACACGTCAACTATGACAGACAAATTGAGAAAAGAAAATCCAGAAAATCACATTGTAGGATTTTTTATGAATTTATTTGCAAATTATGGTGGAAAATAAGTATTTGGTCACCTACAAACAAGCAAGATTTCTGGCTCTCACAGACCTGTAACTACTTCTTTAAGAGGCTCCTCTGTCCTCTACTCGTTACCTGTATTAATGGCACCTGTTTGAACTTGTTATCAGTATAAAAGACACCTGTCCACAACCTCAAACAGTCACACTCCAAACTCCACTATGGCCAAGACCAAAGAGCTGTCAAAGGACACCAGAAACAAAATTGTAGACCTGCACCAGGCTGGGAAGACTGAATCTGCAATAGGTAAGCAGCTTGGTTTGAAGAAATCAACTGTGGGAGCAATTATTAGGAAATGGAAGACATACAAGACCACTGATAATCTCCCTCGATCTGGGGCTCCACGCAAGATCTCACCCTGTGGGGTCAAAATGATCACAAGAACGGTGAGCAAAAATCCCAGAACCACACGGGGGGACCTAGTGAATGACCTGCAGAGAGCTGGGACCAAAGTAACAAAGCCTACCATCAGTAACACACTACGCCGCCAGGGACTCAAATCCTGCAGTGCCAGACGTGTCCCCCTGCTTAAGCCAGTACATGTCCAGGCCCGTCTGAAGTTTGCTAGAGTGCATTTGGATGATCCAGAAGAGGATTGGGAGAATGTCATATGGGCAGATGAAACCAAAATATAACTTTTTGGTAAAAACTCAACTCGTCGTGTTTGGAGGACAAAGAATGCTGAGTTGCATCCAAAGAACACCATACCTACTGTAAAGCATGGGGGTGGAAACATCATGCTTTGGGGCTGTTTTTCTGCAAAGGGACCAGGACGACTGATCAGTGTAAAGGAAAGAATGAATGGGGCCATGTATCGTGAGATTTTGAGTGAAAACCTCCTTCCATCAGCAAGGGCATTGAAGATTAAACATGGCTGGGTCTTTCAGCATGACAATGATTCCGAACACACCACCCGGGCAACGAAGGAGTGGCTTCGTAAGAAGCATTTCAAGGTCCTGGAGTGGCCTAGCCAGTCTCCAGATCTCAACCCCATAGAAAATCTTTGGAGGGAGTTGAAAGTCCGTGTTGCCCAGCGACAGCCCCAAAACATCATTGCTCTAGAGGAGATCTGCATGGAGGAATGGGCCAAAATACCAGCAACAGTGTGTGAAAACCTTGTGAAGACTTACAGAAGATGTTTGACCTGTGTCATTGCCAACAAAGGGTATATAACAAAGTATTGAGAAACTTTTGTTATTGACCAAATACTTATTTTCCACCATAATTTGCAAATAAATTCATTTAAAATCCTACAATGTGATTTTCTGGATTTTTTTTTCTCAATTTGTCTGTCATAGTTGACGTGTACCTATGATGAAAATTACAGGCGCCTCTCATCTTTTTAAGTGGGAGAACTTGCACAATTGGTGGCTGACTAAATACTTTTTTTCCCCCACTGTACTTGCTTTTGGATGTCTACAGTACTCTGTACGAACAGTCAGAGAGGGTAAGGCTTTGAAGAGGACAGTCTGACCCCCACCATTTATTTCTACCTGTGCAATGCTTTTGAGACAGACGCTAATAAGAACCCCTCATTATCTTTGCCAAACCTCAGTATACTCA